TAAGTCAAGGGTCATTTGGTCATTCTACATCGCCATTTAATTTCTTTTTAATTATATTATATATTACATATTTTATATAAAACCACTTTACCACACCAATACTCCTCCCAACGTTGGTTGATAAGTGTGCAAAAGCGTACACCTTAGCACCCAATTGTTTCTTTATTTCACTTCATTTTACACCTTTCTCAATCCTGTATTAAGTCTTTTAGTCTTGTCTTATGGTTTTACATTTAATAAAGCTAGGATGCAGGAATGGTAATGTCTTATATATTTGATGAGTAAAATGTTAACATAAGCATTGTTGTATCAGGTGTACAAGTTGCTGCAACACTGGACGATGATATTGGCACCACAAGGCTCAATTTCGTGAATAATGTGAAAAGTCAAGGTTTTGAAGAAGCATCTCCTAGTACTCCTGGAAGCTAATTTAGATAGATGATGCTCCTGCAAGATGCCTTAAGCATCTTTCCTTTGACCAGTGGTTATTAACCAATGGGTAATAACCCTTTTGGTACTTTTGATTCCCTCCTCCTAGTATAAGTAGTAAGGATAATCCTTTGAACAATAGCGTGGTGTGTGAATTTGTAACCACTGGGAACAATTGTCATCAGGAACAATATGATAACCTGGATTTAAGATAACATTGGTTGAGGTAACCTTTATGTGATTATATATGAATATGTGATAACATGCATGTTTATTTAAGTAAGTGCATGGATCGTGTGTGTGTGTGTATATATATATATATATGTGTGTGTGTGTGTGTATGTGCGTGTGTGTGTGTGTGTATGAATGTGATTCTATGCATATGTGAGAAGGTGTCAAAAATATGTGTGTGCACGTAGGACGACATGCATACATGAGAATTAATTAAAATAAGTGTATGCAATTTTCGTGGTTAAGAAATGATGGGTTTTAAAATAATAAAACTCCACCACCCTAAAGAGTTTTATATTAATAAATCCCATCGCCTTTGTTAAGATATATATAAAGAAGATAAAGATAAACCTTATCTTATCTTTTGGAAAAATCTCTGTAAAAAGGAAAAAGAGTGTAAGGCGATGAAGGTGTTCTTGAGAACTTTTGCATAAAAGCGATTTGAGGAATCTATGTTTACTAGAAGAAGTTGTTGTATGATTAAATCTTCAAGTCTATGCATATTAAGGTGAGTTTTTGATACCAAAATCCTTAAATAATGTTATTTGAAATATATGGTTTTGATGATTGATTTTGATGAAAAATGGTAAACTGTTTTAGTAGTTGAAGTTGAGCTCTATAAATCTGGGTTTTGGAAACTGTTCTTGAGAAATAAAGAAGATTTTGCTTCTTTAAAACAGTTGAGGATAATATCCTATTTTAAGGATTAAAGGAGATTTTGATTTTGAAAAATGATATTAAAAGAACTGTTAGTTCTTAAGTTTCAAAGTTTTGGAATAAAACTTTGAAACCATTATTGGTTAAAACTATAGAGGATGTTCCTTCATGACGGTTGTAACTTAGTTCTGTCTTCGTTTGGAATTAATCTATAGATTTTGATGGTTAAAACTATAGAGGATGTTACTTCAAGACGGTTGTGACTTCGGTATGTCTTCGTTTGGAACTAATCTATAGATTTTGATGAGGAAATAAGGGTGGCATATCAAGGAGAGGTGTACCATAGGATAAGGGTGACATATCAAGGAGAGGTGTACCTTCAGATATAAGGGTGGCATATCAAGGAGAGGTGTACCTTTGGATATAAGGGTGACATTTGTATGTGTGATTGTTATTATAGCTCTTGCTATTATGTCTCTTAAGATTGCAATAGTTTTGAGTTCTTACTTCTTTGTGATTTGAGGACTTAGGAATATTGCTCTTATTAGAAATGATAGTAATGATGTTATTGAGAAGGGGAAAACTTGGCTTATGGCCAATGGATTTGGATAAACTATGTTTTTGACAAAGTGTTTGATTTAGGAGGAACCAAAGAGGCTCTGGTTGTTCCTTGAAAGGAACCAGAGGGGCTCTAGTTGTTCCTCACATAGAACCAGAGGGGCTCTAGGTGATGGTTTGATTATGATGCAAGTCTTTTACAAATCTCTTACTTAAACCAGAGGCTCTATATCTATCATATAGAAGCTCTGTGTCAAAGGATTGTGTTTTAAAAATGTTCATAGGACTTCTTGCTTTTATTTTAACTTAGAGAATTTCTCATACCAAAAAGTCTTAAACAAAGAAGGATAAACCAGAGGGGCTCTGGTTGGTCTTCGCATTGAACCAGAGGGGCTCTGGTTGGTCATGGTTTTTGGGCCACAGGCTCTGGTTAGTAGAACCAGAAGCTCTGGTCATACATAAGCCTTCTATTTCACACTTTTTATACTTGGGAAACCATTTCATCCATCCTATGTACTAGACCTTGTAATTATATGAAGATTAACTTGTAAGGAGCTTTGGTTGGTGTAACTAGAAGCTCTGGTTAGAGGAACCAGAGGGGCTCTGGTCCTGCTATTTGATGAAAATCTTTGTTTGGTCTTTGCAACCAGAGGGTTGCTGGTCTTGATGAATTATGGATTTATGTTTCCATTATGTAAAAAGTTGATTTTAATTAATGTTTTGGTGATCTTCACCTTGCAACTACATGGAAAAAGGGATCTCACTAGACCTTCAGGTCTAACCCTCATTTTGTCTTTCAAATATGTATTGCAGGAACAACCGAGTTCAATGATAATAAAGGGAAAATATAACTTGTTTCCCTAAGTGCATAACTATTAGAAGATCAGCCTATGGATGAGTTTTGAAGTTGAATGTTATGTTGTACAAGAACATGTATTTTGGAATTTTTGAGTTGTGTATTTTGTATCTCAGTTTCTTGTATTTTGGACCTTAGTGGGATAATACATGTATTTATTTGGATGAATTATATGTTATATGCAATGTGAGATGTGGGGTGTTACAAACAAAGCTTAATCTAAGTTTTGGTTCCTTGTTACTTTTTAATTTGCAAGTATTTTTCAGTATTCTTCGTTACTGTCTCTTTCTATAGCAACCTTTCCAGCTTTCTTTACTTTTCGTGCAAGATTTACTTTTACGTCATTTACATTCAGTCATTTTCGTTTATGTCATTTACTTTTAAGCACTTACCTTAGTATGGGTGTTAGTGAAAGTTGTGAAATTACGCTAAGTGTTAGTTGATGTTTGCTTATTAATAGCAAATTATTTCACTATTCACAAATGGTATCAATATTTCATTTAGTAATCTTTGACAAATTGACACATGTTATTTTACTCAGATGAGTTGGACTTAAAATTAAGACAATGCAAATATTTTTCCTAGTTGTGTTATAGAGGCTATAAAGAGTGATCGTAATCTTATGGGTTGGAACTATATGGAAAGAAAAGCAAGATCTATACTAGTTTGAGATTGATGCATCACCAAGTGTACTTCCAACATATGGTCTAATCTGCACTTCGTTGGAAGACCGTTCAATTCAATAGTGTTGTAAAGAGCTATTTGTATAGCAATATTCATTTCATTTCGTTGCTGAAATCCAATCTAATCTTGCATCCATACTATCTTTTAATTATTGTTGCATTTTAATATTTGGTTACCAACTCTCGCAAAGATATTTTCTCTCTGAACCTTTATTGTTTCCAAAAACCTTTTCTGAAATCTCACTTTAAAGTTGACTTTTGTGACTCTCTTTACAATTTAAATCTTTGAGAAACGATATTTGGTATTACTTACCATTGTTACTTGATTTGGACGATACTTGTAAGTCTTGTATACTTGCATGATTTACTTGTCATTATTACCTTTTGAGGGCATAGATTCTTCCACACCATTGACCTATGATCCCCTCCCCCAATAGTACCCTCTTTTTGTAGGTACCTTCACTCTCCAATCTCCAACCTTGCTCCACTACTGTGTTCATCATCGGAAGAGGGAGTTGTGTTCATCGATGGTAGAGGTGAGGGATGGTTCAAAATTGATTTATCGATTTATAGAGGAAAGGGGGGGGGGGTAGTGTTCAGTGATGACAGAGCTGTAAAGCTTTTAGTTTCTTGCAGATGCTGATTTTAATACAAGGGTTGAGTCCAAATACCGATTTACAGCTCCGATTCACGAGAGGAGTTGTGTTCATCGATGGAAGAGGAGGATTGTGTTCATCGACGGAAAGGTTGTGCATCGACAGGAGTTTTATGTTTTTAAGGTTTTTCTTTTTTAAGGCTTTAAAAAGTTGTGCAAAAGCATCACCATAAAATGATGATGAAATATTTTATATCAAAGTAAAAAGTAAAAGAACAAAGGTATCCATGATTTAACTAAAGCTAAGATCAAACGATCCAATCTATGACAATAGTAGAACCATGTTGACCATGCATGTAACTATTTTGTTTGAGGGATCCGATTCAAATTTTCATATAATCGAAGGGACGAAATTTGTAATTTACTGTAGAAAATATGAATATTTAATATAAATTATATTTTTCTTTTTTCACTGAATATCGCGTTTAGCAAATAAACTAGTTAACTATTATTATTATTATTATATTATATTATAAAAATATTTTTATCATTTTTTGATTTTTAGAGAAAATTATATGTGTCATCCTTATAATTTACATGCTATAACGTATTATGTTCCTTTTCTAAAATATTTATTAATGTAGATTGTAGTTTTGTAATTTTTAATTATTATAGTTTTTTTTATTGTACTAGTCATAGATCAATCCATGATTAAGGATGAAAGATTTATAAAATACATAAAAAGGAAAAAAAAAACTGATATGGTTTTGTAGCTGAATGGTTCAGTCATGGGCTAACTGAATAAGCCCATACCAAACAATTAGATATGGCTATACGAATAAGTCATTTGGCTTATACAATCCATTAAATCACAACCGAACAGCCCCTTAAACCTCTAAAAAGATTCACGAACGAGCTTTTAAGTTATAAGAAAACTATCACAAAATGTGATTCCCAATACAAGTTAAGAAATAAAATAAAGCTCAACTAGTGGGAAATTAAAAGAGGAATGTTATTAATACATAATTGGAAGAAACCATACCCATCTTAATATATCAATTATTTTCTATAAAATTACAAAGTTCCCTTTAAATTATTAAGCAGCATTGCATACGTGACATCTTACTGTTTCAGACACACCTGTAGAGGAAAATAAAATTATCCAGCCAAAGAAACATAACATCAGGAGTCGGCTGCTCCTGCTCCTGATCCCGATCCTGCCAAAACAAACAATGTAACATCATTTCCAATAACTATCATCTCTATAAAAAAAAATTAATACATTTAATAAAATATTAATTACCTCTCCTTAACATTTAATTCCAATGCCTCTTACCTCTTATCTAGGGGTGTGCATGAGTCGAGCTTTTAACGAGCTACTCGAGCTCGAGCTCGTTTTCGACTCGGCTTGTTTGAAAACTCGATTAGACTTTTTGAGTCGAGCCGAGCCATTCGATCAAACATTTTGTCGAGCCAAGCATGCTTATATGTTCATAAATTATACAATAACGATATTAAATTATCAAACTCGAGCCTATAAACGAGTTAATCGAGAGTGTGAACGAGCATAGAGCTCGAGCTCGATGATTCAAAAAAAAATCGAGCCCGACTCGAATAACCTACTACTCAACTCGACTTGATCATTTACACCCCTACTCTTCCCTGTGGGAAATATTAAAATATTATTTCTCCCCTCTTAAATATTGGGTTTTAGAGATTTATCCAAATTTGAAGATTTTCACCTTCTCTATACTATATTAGCATACATTATAACATACCTATTCAAGCAAAAAAAAATCTCTAATAACACCAAAACCACTATTTAAGCAAAAAATGCTCTAAGATTCAAGCTTCATATCATCATCATTTAAGTTCTCTTGCAACTTCTTGTGAACAAACCTATATCCAACATATTCTCATATAGTAATCGACAATTTCATTCGTGTGTTTAATCTAGACTAGGAGATAAAATAGTCATTTTTGTTATCCAAACTATATATTCAGCTCAACAAACATACAACAATTTAACTTAATCCACACAAACAGCTTAATCTATCCATACAGGTGTTAATGAAAAAACAACTTAGATGAAGATGAGTCGATCGGGCAACTAATATTCTTGTAAATCTGTGTTCAAGCCGTGCAGGTTCAAAGGTCAAATCTAATCGTACTTGTGGGTTGGCATAATGAATTACAAATGGTGGTCACCCCCGTTTTACTCACCATCTACAAGGTTCCTCGGTATTCAAATACATACACATAGTCTAACAAGTAAGAAGGTGGACATCCTTATAAAATGCGTGACACCCAACTGCACTCGATTTACCTCCCTCATGATAGTCAGGAGAATGTACAGTGTAGTTTCATACCCTTTTTGCAGAAAATACATATATACACACACCAACATGCACTTCTTGCTAAGAGAAACCAAAGTTGACCAACTAGTATTCATCTTGAGTGATAGCCTTAAACCCTAAGGCCTACAAGTTAGAGCAATAACTACAAGTTAAATCGGAACTTAGAAAACAAGACAAGAAGTGAGCACTAACCTTTACGATGGCCATGATCTTCGATCTTAGCAAGTGAAACAGCAATCTGAGCAGCAAGAACGGCATTGTTCTTCACAAGAGCAATGTCTATGCCATATTAAGAACAATCTTCCACCAAAAAAGAAAAGTATAGTAAACAAATATCTCAATCAAGATTTTGCATTTGTTTGCTTTCTTGATATCTCAAATATAAAGAGCGATCCAGATAAAGCAAGGCTCCTTGCCTGCCCTTCCAGCCAAGTTGATTTAAGAAAATATAAAGTTAGTTTAAAAGGATACTTGACTCGAGAGAAGCTCCTCCGGTCAGGTCGTTCACTCTAGAAAGCAAGTAAGGAGTTTCAGCACTGCCCGTAATGCCCTTATCACTGAAATTAAGTAAATTAGACATAGATGCAGAAATATATCAACTACAAGTAGAAGCACAAATAAGTTGATGTTAAATGAGGTTATTTACCACTCGCTCCATCACATAATAAATGTAATTTTTAACTAGGCACACAATTTAATAAAACTTTGACTATATTAATAACAAAGTAGAGGAATCTAGACTAAAATGAATGTTATCGATATTTAGTAATCAGTGTTAATAGGTAAATGGGTAACTCGGAGTAAAACTTCAGAAACATAAGGAATGCAACATATTTTTGAACATCCTAAAAGGAAAAAATCTGTGTTTATTTTTGGGGGCATGTATCATTCATTAGAGATGGTTCTTACCCAGCTTCTCTGAGTGCTGTTTGTATAGCAGACTCTATAACGTTACCCGAAACAGAATGTTCTTTGGGTATAGGAACTGCTATCAGTATGCCCGATTTAAGATCGAGTTTCCTGTTGACCTCTGCGACCAATAATCACAACAAAATAAGCACATTTAATCAATGACTCAGCTGAAGAATGAGAATAAAGTTTGATGGTACTTGCCAATTAGTCGAGCACACTCTTCCGGTGAATCTAGTTGGCATGGTGCCTGGTTTGTCATTGACAAAATGAAGATCTTAAGGAAGGGTACTATAAAGTACACATATTTGTAAGTATAACCAAACATATGAATTTAGATAGCTTGGGAAACAAATGTATCATCATTAAATAGATTTCTGTAATCGTATATCACTTCCATACACTGAAAACATGCTCAAATTGTTCTAGTAACTTGTATTGTATTAATGGAATGTACAGTATAACTTCTTATGAATTCCCAAATAAAATTGATAAGTACTATATCAGTTCTATCATAGATCACTCACCAAGTGGCCTTTGGTCCAGTGGTACCAATCTAGCTTTTACAGCCCTTAGAGGCATAGACTGTGAATTTAAACTCTTCAGAGACATGGGTATGCGAATTTACACTCTTCAGAGACATGGGTATGTGAATTTTGTTTGCCATTCCAAAAGAGATAGGGAAAAGAAGAATCTCTAATCAATCAATACCAACTCTGTATTAAGTTATTTCTCGACATTTTTTTGTTGAAAAGTTGTAGAATATCCAGACACTCGTCCATTACACACAAAATATATATATTTTGGGAAGCAAAATAAAATAGAACTCCTAGGATGATGCAAGGTACACCGAGTAGAACAGAGTTGACGTCCATACCTTGCAGCCACTTTTTTCAGTAAAAAAAGCAGGAAAGTCATCAGTCTTGTAAGAAACAACACAAACTCCTTGAGTTTCCTAAAGCATTAGAAATTTATCGTCAACTGCCACTCTGCCAGCCCAAAATTATGTTTGCTTCTTATGAAAAATAAACATACCATATATTCTAGGGTTTTGGGAATATCTAATATGGACTTCACACCAGCAGATACTACAGCTATAGGAGTCTTTCCAAGCTCAGTAAGATCAGATGATATATCCAGAGCTGAAACAATGCAAGAATCAGAGAGACTTCAACCACTCAACAGTTACAAGCAGATGTATAATTCATGAAGGAAACAGGAAAAGAGCTTTATGCTTTCTAGAGTAGCAGTAACAGACGTCTTTTATGCTACATTAATCAAGTATAGAAGATATTCAACTGAGTAAATCATCACTTTACACTTGATAACAGTGAGGCAGATGGGTAGATTAGTGGTTTATATATATATCGTGTCTGAATAGATTTGCATGCATCTGGAAACAGTTTGGATAATGAGGCATTTTATAGACAGGTCCCAGGAGATTTTGACATGAAAATGGAAAAGTATAGTGTATAGTTTAGATTTCAATATGATCACATTACTTTAACTTGTAGACAAAATATTGTCCAATAATATTCTTAGAAGGAGTCCACTTATAAAAAACTACTGTCACAAGAAAAAAAGAAGTTTGTTTCAAATTTTGACATCAAGATAAAATTGATGTTCCTTACTTACCCATCCTTTTGAAAGATTGGACAAGGACTCATATTATTGATTATTTAATCAAGTGTACATTTATCTACGATGAAATTTGTTAAATTCCTACTCTAATTTGAAGTAGACTCTCCTCTTAGGATGGAAATCAAAAGAGAAAAAAAGAAATCAAAAGTAGAGAGCATAAAATAATAACTGACAGTTTTAGTCATGGCATAAGGTCTATAGTCCCGTTGTAAGACCAATGTCTACGTTCCTTAGTGAAGCTAAATTGTACAGAAGACAAGCAGACAACTACATTGAGTTTCCATCAAAGCAATTAAAATCAAATGAAGTGAAATATCTCAGAATAAGACATATATCAGAAAGCTTACTGGTTTCTCCATGTCTGTGGACTCCTCCAATACCCCCGGTCACAAATACAGATATGCCAACCTGAAGAGAACGAGCAGTTGGGTAATTCAAGCACATATGCATCCAATGTTTATCCCAAATTATTTGGAATAGGCTAAAGGTGAAACCAGAAGAACATCAAAACAGTGTAACCCAGGAACGAGAAAACATAATGAAATGAAGCCACCTAGGGTTACAACACACGAATGATGTCCTACCATGAACTCCTATCTAAGGCTAGCTCCCTTGATATAATGAACTCATGCAAACCTCCCTTCATTAGTTCCTCCTTGGAGAATGTAGCTGGCATCTACCTCTCCTAGCAACCTCTTCTTGGTATAATTCTCTTCTAATCGATGCATTTGGAGGTCTAAATTGAAGATGATCAAACCATGCTGCCTTGAGCCATTTTTTACCTCAGCTTTTCCTCAATTGATGTCACCCCAACTTTCTCTCATACTCATTTCTAATACTGCCGTTCATTTGAGTCTAACGTCTTATGCAAAATGATAGATTATTTTGCCACAAATTTCCTTGGTACTATTATGAGTGCACCACTAAAAGTAAAAGCGATAAAGCTTAAGTTCAAATATGAGCTTCAAGTAAATATATCACATATGTATTTTGTTATGTGTGTGTGTATATATATTTCCCCGGTCACACAAATTGATGTTCATTGCATTTTGGTTTTCAATATGATAGACCACGGTTACACCAAAATTGAAGTTCACTTTGATCTTTAAATATTTAAATTACGAACTATGAAATAATATCTATATGTTATTTGTTAATTTCAGATGTAGATATACAATATATTCAATGCACCCTCATACTCTTATTTCTCTGAAAGCGCTGAATTGCCTTGTATATATCTCAAGTGGCTTCAATAGTACTTGTTCAACACACAAGACTATCAAAACTTCTTGTGATATCAACCACTGTACCCTACAACAAACTTCCTCATCAATCTTCCCAACTCTCTGTAAAACAACATGCAAAATGTATTAACCTGAAAGAGAAAACCAGCAATAGAGCACGCACCATTGAAGCAAAGATCATGGTTGCAGACACGGTAGTTCCACCGCTACTTCTTGTAGTCACCTGCATAGACTAAGAATCAACATCTGGATGTAGAGCTCATCATCTGTAAATGAGTTGAGACTAGTCCTATTGACAGGTCAAGTACAACGTTTACATGGGTTTATTGAGTTTGAGCTTCACACACATAATAGACGAAGTACCACTTTGATGAATTCAATCAACTAAACAATCAAATAAAAATCACAATAGAACCAAACTAAAAGCACTCAAGTAGATTACTTATAGTGCCAAGTAAATGAAGTATCTGAAATATAGAACGCTCAATCTAGTGACTGCTGATTTTAAGGGGAAAAGCTTCAGTCAAATGAGGCTCTAACCGTTACTTGAAACATAGCAGACACAAAGTGAAATTAACAAATGCAACAGAAAGAAGTGAAAAACATGGGGCATAAATGAACAAGGATCTAGACTCGAGGCATACTCACAACATAAGCAATGTCCCTTCGAGATATCTTTCGAGCCTTGGGTCCTAGCTTAGCTAACATCTCCAGTTCTTCAGCACTGAGACCTACAAGTAAAAAACAAGTCTTGCAATACTAAACGGCGAACATGGGAATGAGCTAAAACTTGAAGAATGAAACAGTTAGATGATATATAGCTTAAAATCCACTTCTCGACAAAATGCAGAGCCCAAAAGAGGTGTCCCTCACTAGCCTTCCACCCAGCACAGACATGACCACAATTTCCCTTGATGATAGTTGTTAAAAGCGCGGCGCGCCTAAGGCACGCCTAGGCTCGGAGGCTCAAGGTCTTGGGCTTTTCTAAGTCGAGGCTAGGCATATGCACGAGGCTCACTAAGGCCCTGAGCCTTGGCTGAGGCACCTTGTGGGCCTAGGCACGCATCATAAAGAGTTATTAAATACCAAGTCAAACCCCAATATTAAATAAGTTTTCTCATCTTCTTATCTCCTAGACATCTTAAAAAAAGAGTTATTAAATAGATGAGATAAGTCAAGCCCTATTACTAAATACCCGGTTCTTGTAACTTCAAGCTTATTTCTCTATAAATACCCAGACCTTAAAACTTCTCCCTCATGGCTCACGCTTTAAACCCTTCTCCCTTCTGCCTCTATCAAAGTATTGTTGGTTGCTGCAATGGAGGCTTGTACTTGCTACATATTTGAGTTGTGTGTGTATAAGTTTTCTATATAAGATGCGCCTCATGACCCCTGGATGCCGAAGGCTTCCTTGGGGTAATCTCGTAGTTCCACCCCTTTGCGCCTAAGTGCGCCTTCAGCCTTAACAACTTTGCTCTTGATTAAACCCCAATCAATTGTTATATTTCACAGGTAATGGATAAGTGATTAGTGGTGATTACCTAGTATCAGCACCCAAACACCCCATTGAACATAAAAATAAATATTTCTTGGTTAATGATCAGGATACCCTCAAACAAATTAACATTTCAACTTATTCGCCTCATACACATCTGGTAGAAAAGAAATGTCAAACTGAAATGGACAAAAGTGCAGAAACAGAAGAACCATACATATCACCTTGTTCGTGCATGAGATACAGACTAGCTAAACTTTGTAGAATGTGAGTACTAACAGCGGTTTATTGGGTTTCAGCTATGAAAAAAGTAGGTAATCCTGGAGTGAAGGAGCTCAGAAATAAAAATAAATGGCATCCTTTCACACGAAATTATTTAAAATGTTTGTATTTTCAACTAGATCCTCGGAAGCCACTAAAACCATGACAACGGAACTCATGACACTCACTTAAAAAAATGAAAATTATTGATATGATGCTCAATGACAGGTCGGAATCACTAGAACAACTTTCATGGTCTTATTTTCAATATGGCAGAATGGATGGATGTAAGAAATGACTTGATGGCTGATAGATAATTCTCGAAGAGTCATCTTCTGAGGGATTTGGCCATTTTGCGAAAAATGTGGACTATGAATCCTATAGAAAAATGAATCTTGATGGCTATCAGCACATTTATGTACAGAAATATGGGGCTGTGCTATGCTGGTTGTGGATCACGCCCTCACACTTAATATCATAATAATGCATCTCAGTTGACAACCGGCAAAAAGAATTAAGGGATAATATTAACACCTATGCATGGAATGCCATCTAAAATAGCAATAGTAGCAGGAACAGCTCCATTTTCCTTCAGAATGGCCTCCAGCTCTTTTGCAGTCTCCAAATTCTGAGGATAGGGCATGCCTGACAAACAGGAACAATATAGTTAGAAAGAAAAATGGCAAATATATACAATAAACTGAACAGCATGAAGTATTGCACAGATCTCAATTGCTGGAGCCCCAAACTACCCAAATCTGATGATATAATTGTAATTATATCAGCTCACTTGCTCCCTATAGTCTAAAAGGATGTTCAATTATGTCTTTCTGGTTGTTTTGGGCTTCTCATCCTAGTTAAATACGCAGATCTCACCTCTACCCTGAGAGGGAGAGCGGCTGTTTCCATGACAGCTTGAGCAAAAGTGTGAGTGAAAAACAAGAACTGAATCTAATTAAAAGTGAGCAACAGAAAGAGAAAGAAGACAGAAGGGAGAGGCATAATGAAACGTTAAGAGTGTAAGGCACATAAACACATAAAGAAAGTAAAACACCCAACCCTCCTCCTGGTTAAATACAGTTAGGGGTTATTTGATCTTTTTTGTATCAAGTCCTTTATCTATTAAGCTGTCTATAAGCAATAATTTGTTTGAATGAATTAAGATAAATTGTTGCTTGATTTTTGTCCTGAATAAATAGTTAAAAACAAAAATTACCATTTTAACCTTATGTCTACATAAATCTTGATGAAAATTATTTGTTTGATAAATCTTCTGAATGACAAAAAACAAAATTGTATGAAGTTATAAAAAATAACACAAATTCAATGAGTTCATTACACAATACTTGATAACTTAAAATATATTAAAACAATTAAGAATCATTACTTGATGACAATTTTTAACTTATGCACTTGTTGGTTGGCTATTTATTTTTTAATGAGACGTGTGATTAAAATATGTAGGATCAGCTTAATTTTGGAAAAATTCCTAGCTTAATGCATTAAGATAGGGTGGGTTGTTGTATGATGTTAAGCCCATTTCTTAGTATTAAGTTAAAATCAAATATTTTAATATAGCTTAATCAGTTAAGCTAACCACCCCTTAAGCTTATTAGGTTGAAATCAAACACCCTCTCCTCTAGGCAATTTTTACCTTGTCTTTTTACGGTTCCTTTTCCGGCGACTTTGCTCCATTGAGCAGATCGTTTCCTCCTCTGCACCATCTTACGTCTTCTTCTTCTCCTCCCTCCCACCCTCCCCCTCCCCCTGTTCTCTCCTTGTGTTTGTAGGTGACTCAATGACACTGCCACCATCATAAAACCAACTTCAGCACCACCTCCTGTCCTCACCAAACGTCGCCAGAGTCACCATCCAAAAGCGCCTTTCATCGTCACCAACGTCAGCAGTCTACCGGTGGCATTGCCACCGATGGTATTGTCTCTCTCCTTGTCTGTTTTTCTCCTCTGCCTCCTGCCTCCCTCTGCCTTCTCTTTCTTCTTTTTAAATTGATTATCCCCCCTACTCTGCCACTCCCCTTGCTTACCTCATCTGTATTGCCCCTCCCTCCCTTGCCTTCCCCGATCCTGACCCCCTCTCTCCGCCATGCTTTCCTCATTCCCTGATCCAGACCACCTTCCCCCGTCTTCCCCCTTTTTCTTCCCTTCCCCCTACCTCGTGCCATTGTGTCCTGCCCTGCCCTCCCTTCCCTGGATTGTAATTTGGCTTTTACTACTTTTAGCTTATTAGCTCGTTTTTGTGGGTTTTACAGTACCATAGTTATTGTGTTAGTTATTACAGTCTATATTCATGTAAATTGTTGAGTAATTTCTTTGATTGCTTGATTGTACTTTAAGATATGAAATTTACTTTACTTTGTTCCTATATAGTATTCGGCTTTGTATATCTGTACAGATCGTAATAGTTGTATTGTATTTTATGAGCTATAGTGGTATATTTTTGTATCTAGACTGACACTTTATTTATGCTTTTATGTGCCTTTATAGCTTTCGGTCTTTATATTGTGTCCTAATTTGCCTCGTAACTTCTAGGTGGGTTTTCCTTGTTCGTTTGGTTTCTTATTATTTGTTGTTTTAGCTATATTTATGGTACTTCGAATTGTGTTGTAGTGTGTGTGGTTCCTTGCAAATACATTGTAGGGGAAAGCATAGTTCTTTGAGGTTATGTCTTCTTCGAGGGTCAAGGGGTAGATGGGGAGGGAGGAAGGAGAATAGTTGATCCTAGGATAGGATTCATAAAGGTAGCTTGCATGTGAAAGCTTTGAGTGGCATACTTAAAATTAATAGATATGTTAAGGAAGCAAAAAGTGATCATTGAGTGCATTCAGCAGACTAAGTGGAAGAGAAGTGAACTAGGGAGGGAAACAGGTACAAGTTATGGTATTTAGGACTAGTTAGCACAAGAATCATGTTGGCTAAGGAGCTCAACGCCAACATGGTAGGGGTGAATCGGTGTAGTGACAAGATTATAGCGCTACGAGTAGTGATTATTGGTGGAGATAGTTAAATTCATCTGTGCATACGCATGGTAGGCAGGTTTGGGGAATTAGAAAAGAGGAGTTTCTTGGACTTCTGGATAAACTGCTGAGAGGCTTGTCGGGAATCCATTACATATTTCTAAGGGGTCTCTTTATTGACAATATTAGGGGGTTGCAGATGGATACCGGTGAGCTATTGGGGGTTTGGCTTGGCGGTACGAAACGAAAAAGGTCATACCCTCCTGAATTTCACCATCACACATGACCTTATGGTGATTAACTCTTGCTCTAGAAAGCGGGAAGAGCACCTGCATGGGGGCATGATCTAGGGGTGATTAACTCCTGCTTTAGAAACCGAGAAGAACATCTGATCACCTTTAGAAGCAGGGGCATAGAACCCAAATTGATTATCTCATTATGCATTTGGTATTGCAGAACTTGTAGGGATTGCAAGGTGTTTCCAGAAGAGAATGTGCCTCACAATATAGCTTGTTGGTAATGGACTTGTACATGAGCAAGGGTGTTGTAGAGAGCATGAAAGACATTAGGCCGAGAATCATGTAGGAGAGGGTAGTCTTGAAGTTAGTGAATGAGCAGGGGCCAGATGCAGCGGAAATGTGGAGTAGAGTAGCCCACATTGTTAGAGTTGTGGCCACGGATACACTAGGAGTAGGTCAGCGAGGACTAAGAACCACAAGAACTCTTGATGGTGGAACGAAGACGTACATGCAAAGGTTATGTGAAACAAACGCGTTTTAAGGAGCCCATAGATTGCCAAGAGGACGAAAAAAGAAGTAGGTTAAGGGATTTGTACAAAGAAACAAAGTGAAAGGCGAAAAAGCAATGACTATGGCAAAGGACGAGGCATTGAGATGTGCAGAAGGTTAGATAAAATCCTAGGAGCAGAGCCGTCAAGAATTAGGAAAAGTAAGGACAATTAAGGATGAGAACGAGTGGGTCTTAGTACAGGATGAGGACATTAAGGGTGGGGTACGTACTTTCGTACGATACTTAATTAGGCTAAAAGAAAGAGAAGGTGAGGTAGATGGAGTAAGTATAAAGACCATAGAATCTTTCTTTCTACCGGCAAATTAACATATGATAAGTGAATGGGGCAATAAGAAAGATGGGAAAAGGTAAGATCGTAGGTCTAGACCGGATCCCCATTAAGGTGTGATTGTGTTTGGGGGAGGAGGGGTCGCAGTGGTTACCAAAGCTTTTCAGCATCAAAGTGAGGATTTTAATATGCCTGAAAAACGAAGGCTTAGTGTGGTGGTACCGCGCTATAAGAACAAAGAAGATGTGTGGCAATGTGGTAATTATCATTGTATAAATTTACTCAGCCACCGCAAATGATTGAGGCGAGGATGTGGCACGAAACTAGGTGACGGAGAACCAATTTGGCTTCATGCCAAGGAGGTTGACTATTGAGACAATCCACTTTCTCAAACGCCTCATGGAAAAGAATAGAGAGCATAGTAGGGATTTACACGTGGTGTTCATAGATCTCGAGAAGGCCTATGATAGTGTTCCTCGTGCGTGATTTGGAGGAGCTTGGAAAAGAAGTGGTACCATGGAGATATGTTAGAGCGACTCAGGATATGTACGAACAGACCAGGACTTGTGTCAGAACATGAGTACGTGAGATGAAACATTTCCTGATGGAGATAGAACTACACCAAGGATCGGCACCAAGTCTATTCCTATTTGTCGTGATTTTAGATGAGATTTCCCGAGGGATACTCTTCTAGTGTATGTTATTTGCGGATGACATTGTGCTTATTGTAGAGAGTGAATGAGATTGGGGCAGTAGAAGGTGGCATCGGAAACACATGGAATACGCATTAGCAACTCTAAAACCGGATATGTATGGTGCAATTTCAACAAGTAGTGTATTGACAAGGGCATAAGTCAACATTGGGGGGCAAAGGATACCCTAAAAGAACAACTTAAAATATCTAGGCTCCTTAATTAAGAAGGAGGCAAGGTTAAGGATGACATGACGCATCCAATAAAGACACAATGGTTGAAGTGGAGGGCTGCTACGAGGGTGTTGTGTGACAAGAAGGTCATGCTAAAACTAAAAGACCAGTTTTATAGAGTACCCATCAGGCCAGCTCCTCATACGACTCAAGAAAAAATTATTCAAAGTTTTATTTACGAACAAATTATAACAAATAGGATAGGAATTCTTAAAATAAATTGGCCTACAATTTTACTCTTATTAATTTAGCGCCCTTACTGAAATATAAAAAATCATTTGTACTCATAACTCAAGTTGAAGAATTCTCAAATATCTTTTTCCCTAAGATGTTCTTCTATTAAGTGGTCTTTAACCCCTACAGGTCGAAGTGTTGGGCGGCAAGAAGGCCCATGAGTGGAAGTTGTTAATTGCTGAATTGTGGATGCTAAGCTACACACATAGTTAGACCATGTTTGGTAGGATTTACAGAACGTATTTCGAGCCAGATTGGGAGATTCGGCCAATCAAGGATAGGTTGAGAGAGAAATAATGCAATACTTTGGACACCATCATTAGACACTTAGCGGCTCCAGTGAGGAGGGTAGAAACTGTGACGATCAAAGGTGCAAGGAGTGTGGGCCACCAAGGGGATGTGGTTAAGCAACTAAGGATAGACATGGAAGCCTTAGGCACATCGGAGGTGATGACCTAGATGATTTTGTGGAGACGCGAGATTAGAGTAGCGTAGTAGGGAGTGTAACCTATATAATGTAGCTAGGCTATGCATGATGAAGGGCGCTAAAGAGGTAGGGCCGTGGGTAGGGAATTGGCTTACCATGTCTTGTTGTCTTATAGACTTACGGTTGTTGCTCCTTTGCACCTGCGTTTGTTTCTTTGGTGCAACTTGCTTTTCCCTAGCCTTGATCTCCTTTTCATATTTAATTGTTTAGCCTTTTCGGGCAAGCTTTTTTTGCAAGCCAGGAATATTCACAGAAACAACTACTCTATTCCTTGTGATAGAAGACAAATCTACATACATCCCACCTCCGGATAGGATATATTGGGTTTATTTGGTTTGGTTTATTGATTACACATCTACACCAAGCATAATTTATCATGTTATAAATCTGATATGATAGGTCTTGACATGTGTTCTCCTACCGGATAGAGCAAGCAATCAATCTCAAACTATTTGATTATGCTAAAAATGAACCCAAAAAAAAATCACAAATCAGTAAATCCAGAAAAGAATACAAAGAGGTGAATCCCTTAGAATTCATGAACATGAATGAGGCCCTTCCAAACAAACACATATCTAAGGTCAACTATAAATTCAACTCTCCCAACTCTCTATAATACATCCAACAAGCCAATTTTCACCAACGTCTACATTTCCTAACGACCTCCTCTTGGTACAAGTCTCATCTTCCAATTGTCAAAAGCCTATATTGAAGATGACCAACCATCTCAATATGTGTTGCCTCAACTTCTCCTCAACGAATGTCATCCCAACATTCTCCTGCCAAAAAGAATCCTACTTTATATCTATGAACATACATCGACTTGAAAATTTGAATTTTTGCAAGTCATATTGTGTGTGCATGCATAGTATTGTTCCTTGCAAATACAATTCATCACAGAAGTAGTCAAGTAGCTCAGAAAACGGTCCATACATAGTGTTGTTCTATGTCATATACTATATAATATAATCCAAAACCAAAAGCTACCATCATTCCCTTTGAACCATAGCTTCTTATTGATCATTCGGCGTATAAATTGAGGATATGTGAATATCTATATAAAAAACCAAGTTATACCATGAGATATTATAGTGGACTCCAGAGCAACAACCGCTTTCCCATTTGATAAAGCCGTAGAAACATCATGAGAGATCTTAATTGTCCCCGGAGCCGCATTCTCATTTCCACCCTAGTTGAATAACGAAATTGCAAGGAAAAAACGAGTCTTAAATTATTACACAAGTCATTGAAAATTATCATAAAATCGAAAAGTAATTTGCAGAATACATAATCAGACACGGTGATTATGTAGGAGAATGCAAATAATTGCATTAACATTGATAGAAGTTTAGGGCTAGATCATACGTGTTTTGAAGGTTGGCGTAACTTTGTTTGTTTTGTTACCTTGGTGCCTGATTTTGTGATGTTGAAATGACGATGGAGGTTGACCAGCCTTGAAAAGGCGTTATGAGCCATTGCAGAAGCTCCCCGACGAGAGTTGTGAAAAAATTTGCAGTTGCCACCGCCTGGTGAATCCTCGCTACTTTGGCGTTCCCTTTCTTCTTCTAGTATTCAATGGACGTCCAATAATGAAGGGGAAACGATGGACCAAGTTATTACCAATATTTGATTGTTTTAAATCGTTTATGGTGGATTAAATCTATATATAAAAACTTGTGTTTTTATCAATTTACACGGGATGGTTAAATTTGAGACTGAAATGCACCGGATTAATCCTTGTATCATGCATGATTCGTGTGTAGGTTTGAAACTAAAAGATTATCAAGGGGTTTAGATTATTTGTTACACTTCTCATGTTAACCCTCTTCTTACATGATCTTTTTACTTTAAATGTAAAATATTAAATATATAGAGATTATGTTTAAAGGAAAATCGTAAAAAATGAAAAACTAATGAATAACCAATCATCGGTATGGGTATACAAGTAATTTATTAGACTGAATGTACTTTAAGTGTAATTAGTATAATGTAGAGGACACTTCCTACGTAATTAATATCTCTATATAGAGAGAGAGACTGATTGTAATTAGGTTATATATGCAATCAATACACAAAACCCTTTTGGTTTATCTTAGTACGAGAGCCAAGTTACCAAAACCCTACCCTCTTGGTCACGCCACTACAAGGATGATCGTCCGTTGCGGCCGACGCCGCTATTAATCTGACCGTCCACTTCACCCTTCTGTTAATCTGACAGACCGCTATCGTCATCGCTACTAGAATCTACCGTCCGCTGCCGTCGTCGCCACTGCTGCTAGAACCTTAATTTTTCATTTTCAATCTTCTTTTCTTTTACGGTACATTACTACATCATGGCTAAATTGGCGACCATTGCCATGTCTACGGTTGTATACATAATCAATCACATGCCTTCGCAAACCTCATCAAACAAATCACCGTTCAAACATCTTTTCAAACGATCTCCCAATTGATCTTTTCTTCGGGTCTTTGGTTGTCAGTGCTTTCCCCACCTTCGAGTGTACAACCATCACAAAATTGACTTTCGATCGACCCTTTGCATCTTTCTTGGCTATAGTCTTTTCATCATGGCTATCGTTGCCTTGACCTGTCGACCGAGCGTTTATTTAGCGCTCGTCATGTTCACTTCAATGAAGACCACTTCCCCTTTGCTATTCCTATTGTCCCCACTTCCAAACCTACATCATCATGTCCTTGCACCTCCCCGATATCACCTCACGTGGTAACCGACAACACTCCACATGTCGTTCCATCTCCTATAATACCTGATCCGCGTAGTTCACTACTTACTTTCTTGCCCATCTCTAGGTCTTCTCCTGAACCCACTTCCCCTTACACCATGATCCAGATACCAGTGGTTCATCTCTATTATCATCCACTTCCTCATCTCCATCACCACCACCACCTCCTCCTCCTAGACAATGTCCTCCTAACCCTCGGCCCAACCCCAAACAACAGGTTCCCTTCAATCCCTCAGCTAATCTTACCACCACCTCCCCTATACCTATTGAACCAATCTCATTTACCATTGCCAAGAAATATCTTGAGTTCGTCAAGCTATGGTTAAGGAGTATTTCACTCTTCTTAAAAACGGCACGTGGTCTCTAGTTCCTCATGCTTATGATTCTAATATTGTTGATTGTAAGTGGGTTTACAGGATAAAATGGGAGAAGACAGGTGCCATCACTCGTTACAAAGCGATCCTCGTCGTAAAAGGTTTTCGACAACATGGCATTGATTTTCACAAAACCTTCAGTCCTGTTGTCAAGACCACTACCATCGGGGTTGTTTTATCACTTGCGATTTCTCAAAAATGGTCACTCAGGAAACTTGATGTTCCAAATGTTTTTCTCCATGGCCACCTTACTGAAACAGTCTATATGAAGCAGCCTCCAGGATTTATTGACCGACAAAAATCAGATCATGTTTGTCTACTCCATAAGTCCATTTACAGCCTCAAGCAGGCCCCACGAGCTTGGTTTCACCGTCTTTCCAAGGCTCTTCTTACCCTTGGCTTTGTAGGCTCCAAGACTGATCATTTACTGTTTATTTCTAGCCATGCTGGCACTCTTTTATACACCTTAGTATATGTTGACAGTGTTAGACCCCATAACTCATATTTGTAAAAGTAATGAAAAACAAGTGTGAAAGAGCAGAAGGCCGATGGAAGACTTCCAGGCAAAGACCAAGTGTCCAATACAACCAGAAGGCCGATGAACGACCAGAGGTGCGATGAAATGCACATCTCCATAACCCCTCTGGTTACCAACACTTGGAGTTTTCCACGACAATTCAACCAGAGGCACCCGATGAAGAAGATATCAAGACTTGGTTGAACAAACGCCCCATAGAAGACAGCTGGAGATGACAAATCGATAGCTGGATTCTCCAAAGATTTACTTTGCTTTATTTACTTTCCATGTCTAGATAAGCTTTTCTTTCCATAAGAGATTTGCTAAATATCTTCCATAGATAGCAATCTCCTTAATTAGCTTTCTAGTATAAATAGGCATTAGCTCTCTTGTAATCTTTTACGCTTTCCGACTAATCATTTGAATAAAGTGAATCATTCAGCACTCAAGTATATTCTTGAATATTCATATATGTGTTCTTGAGTGTTCTTCATTTTATTCATTCACACGACATATTTAGGTTATTCAGGGATTAAATATGAGTGTCATTGAGAGATCTGGGGTCAACAGACATCATTATCATCATGGAAAACTATAGTGTTGCTATCGACGCCATCGTTCAAGAATTGGGCTCAGCTTCTGCGATAAAGGATCTAGGCCCTCTAAACTACTTCTTGGGTATTGAGATCGTCCCTTAAGAACCAGACATCATCCTTTCTCAAAAGAGGTACATTTTGGAGCTCTTACAACGAGCAGACCTATCAGACTCTAAGCCCATGCCTTCCCACATGACCTCGTCTTGTTCACTATCTTTAGCTGACAGTTCTGCTTTTTCTTACCCAATTAAATACAGATAGCTCATTGGTGCTCTTCAATATGTTATTCTTTCTAGGCCATATATTGCTTTTGTAGTTAATAAAGTGTGTTAGTTCATAGATGCCCCTACTGAATCACATTGGTATGTGGTCAAACAAATTCTAAGCTATCTTCGGGGCACTGTTGACTGTGGCTTACTCATTCATCAAGCATATACTTTACCTCTCCAAGCCTTCTCCGATGCCGATCAGTCTTTCCAAGCCTTCTCTAATGCTGATTTGGTTGGGTATCTAGATGATCGTCAGTCCACGAGAGTATTTGCCATCTATTTGGGTCTAACCTTGTATTTTGGATTGCTCACAAACAATGCACTGTTTCTCGATCCTCTACTGATTTGGAATACAAGCGCTGGCTGATACTGTAGTTGAACTTACCTGGCTTCAAGCTCTCTTTCATGAACATGGCGTTCATGCCCCATCAGCTCCTATCCTATGGTGTGACAATCTAGGGGTAACCTATCTATCAGCCAACCCAGTCTTTCATGCAAGAACAAAGCATGTGGAAGTTGATTTTCATTTTGTCAGAGAAAAGGTTGCTCAAGGAGACCTTCGCATACAATTCATTTCCACAAAAGAGCAGATTGCTGATGTTTTCACGAAGCCGTTGCCGACTCCTATAATCTTACGATCTATGCTACAGGTTGTTACCCGTCCTTAACTTGTGGGGGCGTATTAGACTGAATGTACTTAAGTGTAATTAGTATAATGTAAAGAGAACTCCTATGTAATTAATATATCTCTATATATAGACTGATTGTAATTAGGTTACATATGAAATCAATACAGAAAACCCTTTTGCTTTATCTTAATTTGTCCGGTATGCATGTCTGCATAAACCAGAAAACAACTTTAATTACTTGTATGTAAATTTACATAACGTATAGATAAATGGTTATTAAAATGTTTCTTAGATTTTGGATACACGAACCAGGAAACGTCTTTCATTAAAGTTTGTGGACACACAAATTTATCTCAAATTAAATGATCTTAAATATAATTAAAGAACAAATTATATTATTGGCCCATCTGGGTTACATATTATAATTTCGTGGGTTGTTTTCTAAATAATTATGGTTTTAGTCTCTATATTATGCATTTTATAATGCCTTAGGATACAATCCTTTTCGTCTCCCCCATTTTCTCTATTGAAGCAATTTTAGTAGTTTTTATCTCTCAAATTAGAGAGTAAGGAAGAAAAATAAGAGTAAAATGATGAAAAACCCCTTACATGAGGGGCATATGACTGACTTAATGGAGCCTCCTCTAACACTGTTAAGAGGAGGACTAGTTTGGATTTCAGAACACGAAAAATAGACCACTATTTTATAATTTTTAGGGACTAAAACCACAAGCCAGCCATAGAAAGGGGCAATAAATGTAATTCACTCTTAAGAAAATTATCTAAAAACAATACCTTGTTCTCTTTAATTTGATACTTATATTGATATCCTTTTTTTTAATTCTACCCAGTTTCTAAAATTTCAATCACGAGTATATTCATACAATATTTTTATTGTGTTATACAATATTTACAATGTATTAATACATTTGAACTTATAAAATTAACTCATAATGAATTGATAAACATGTTCAAATACAAGATAAGCGATAAGCCCTACTAATACAGTAAAATATTCCATAAAAACTGATAACCAACAGAAGACCTTCTCTCTAGATATGGCAACGATATGTATACAAGGTATGTCAATCCCTGTCCTTATCCCATCAATGTCGGGGAATATGATTGCATCCCTATTCCCATCCTTAATGGGGAACGGGGATCGCCAAGATGGAAGTGAGAATTTTTCCTTGCCTAATTTTGTGATGATTTTTAGCCTTTTCTTCTATTTTTCCTTTTTTTTTTGAAAAAATATAAATATACCATATATGTCTAAAAACTTATTAAATTGCACGCCCACATTTTTTGCTTTCATCCTAAGGTAGTTCTCTTAAGTTTATGTCCCCTTAACATGCCTTTCTTATGTTGTGAGGTGGACATTGTCTTCGCACTATGAGGAGTATGTGAAAAAATCTGGGCTCTGTGTCACCCTTGTGGGAGGGAACAAAGCTGGAAAGTT